GAAACTGAGACAACCAATGGAAGGTGCTTTAAGCTGCTAACTATGAGGTGCTTTGTTCCACAGGAAAAGAAAATGAAAACACAAGCTAATATTCATTACTTACAGAGACTGAGAGGAAAGCCAGAACTGCTATAATCTCTTACTACTCCAAGGGGAATAAAGGAAGCAAAATTTAAAATTCTGAATTGTCCTAGTCGATGCTCCTTCATAACTCCATGCTTGTTCACTAGCTGTCCCCTCTGCCTGGAATGCCCATCTGCCTCAGATGAATTCTACTCAAATTTCAAAATCCTGGCAAATGTTACATCTCCGAAGAACAATTCCGTTGCAACCACTCCCATCTTGAAGAAAAGCAGAATAGGGTACGTTCCTTGATTTTCATGGCAGCTACTTTTTTATATATTTTCCAAAACACTTGCCATTATACACTGCTGGAACTTTGATAGTCTGCAACACACACACACAGTGGAAGTCACTGGGTGGCACAAATGAAAAGTTGGGACCAAACTCCAAAGGCACTTTGGAAGACAGGCCTGGAAACTGCCTTCTGAAAGGCACAAGCTTGAGAACTTTGAAGAACACAGTTCTGTTTGGCACACCTAGGCTCACCATGCATCAGAATCAACATGATGAGCAATGAACACCACCACCACCACCACCACCCCACTGTCCTAGACTGTGAATCTTTCAGGGTAAAGCTGCCCCCAGAGTCCTGCACAGTGCCAGGTATGCAAACAAGTTGCCATTGAGTTGATGCTGACTCATGTGTTGCAGAGTAGAACTGCTCTCCACAGGGTCTTCATGGCTGTGGAAAACAACCAGGTCTTTCTTCCAAGGGGTCTATGGATGGTTTGATCGTCAACCTATTGGTTAGCAGTCACGCCAGTTAGCATTTGTGCTACCCAGAGACTACATAGTTGGATACTAGTGAATAAAACGTGGCTCTGGATAAACACAGGCTTTTGATGCTCTGAGAGCCACTGTTTCTTTTCCAGGACAGATGATAAGACCTTCAGGTATTAATGGAAACTTGAAAAGCCTTCTCCATGACAACAGCAGGGTGACTAACCACGTACTTACTGTGTTAAAAGGGCAGATATTTACTGTCTCAAAAGAGCTGGTCTGAAAAGGATAGGTAGGTTTGAAGCAACTGGTGGAAAGAATTTAGATTCTCCCCGGAAGGGGTGGTGTAAAGCCTTGCTGATTTGTTCTGATTCCAGCCCTATGCTATGTTTGCATGCTTGTTGATTCAAATAATTTGTCTTAACCCCTTCCTGAAATCAAATGTATGGCTTAAAAATCTGGGTGGTGGTGGTGTGCCCTAGAGTAGGTTCCGACTCATAGTGTAAAGCATTATAGCCTCAGAAACCCTATACTCTATCACCTCTGTATAGGGTTTCTGAGGCTATAAATCCTTACAAGAGCAGAAAGCTTCATCTTTCTCCTGTGGATCAGCTGGTAGTTTTGAACTGCTGACCTTGAAGTTAGCAGCTTGTAGCAAGACAGAAATTTGAATCACATATAAATAATACCCATTTCGTTCACAGAAGTCCAAGGCAGATACCTTGTTTTGGGGGAATTACCGACTTGGGCAAAATTAAGCATCATCAGTCCATAGGGAATGACATTTAGCTGGGTGTGTGCTTTGAGACTATATTGACATAATACTCATATCCCTCAATATGCTGCTCTTAGGATGCACTCCCACAGGAAGAAATGGTTTGACATCCAAGGATTCACTGTAAGGAAATTCTCCCTTGCATTTAAGCTTAATTAATCACGCTGCTAGAGTCCTGTTGTGGCACTGGAGAATAAGCATTGGACTACAAGGTTGGTTTGAACTGCAAGGTCAGAGACTCAAACTCATCAGCCACTCCTTAGAAACCCTATACAGGATCACTATGAGCCAGAATCGACTCAAAGGTACTTAACAACAGCAACAACTGTTTTACGGCTCCAGCTCAGTGGAAAGGAACAAAGCTTCCAGGACCTTCTTTTGCTATGGCACAACTCAAACTAGGATGAAACAGCTGCCACCCTCATACAGCCCTAGTGCAGAGCCTGTTCTCTGGGAGTTCAGAGCCATGGGGTTGGGAGCCAGGCCTGTGTGAGGTGGGGTCCGGCTGCACCTCTCTGGTGTGCCACTTCCATGCTAAGATTCAGGTGGGCTCAGCTCCAGAACTACAAAACACCAAGAGCCATCAGGCCAGCATTTGACCAGTCATCCTGCCTCTAGCTTACCGGTGGTCCTGACAGACATTAAAACATCCGAATTGAGTACCTAAAAATAGATAGCACTGAGGTCAACAGGAGCTCCATCTAGAGCCTGGATGTCACACCCCTTCCACAACCATCTCATGAGCTCCTTGAATTGCAGGAGCCCACCAAAGGGTTCTCCCTTCCAGATTCAACAACTGCACTGTTTTTACAAATACACCAACTCCACAATGTCTCAGAGACAACAGACAATTTTAGTCCACACGAAGAAACAAGAGAAAATGGCCCAAACAAATGACCAAGGTGCAGAGCCAGAAAATGTTTCTGAAGAAGAAGAGGTAAGGGAACTAACTGAAAAAGAATTCAAAAGAATGTTACCTAGACATCTTCAAAGGATCAACAGAAAGATCGAAGAAAGCAAGGAGAACACAATTTAAAAAAATTTTAAAAAACTTCAGAAGAATTCAGGAAAAAACTACAAGAACAAACATAAAATAAATGCAAATTTTGAAACAATACAAAACCTGGAATTAGATATCCAAAAGATCTCAGAAATGGACAATATGCTGAAAGGACAAAAGAGTATATGCAAAGCAATGGAAGCCCGAATTAGTGAACTTGAAGATAAATCTCTCAATACTAGTATGCTAGAAGAACAACCAGAAAAAAAATCAGAAGAAAGCCTAAGAGTTATATGGGACACCATGAAAAAGAACAACTTACAGGTGATCAGAATTTCTGAACAGGAATAGACAACACAGAGTTAACTGCTGAAGAGCTGGTGGAAGAAAACCTCCCTAACATCATGAAAGACAAGAAGATAAGCATTCAAGAAGACAAATGAATCCCAAACAGGAAAGATCCCAAAAGAAAATCAGTAAGAAATATCACTATCAAATTTTCCAAAATCAAAGACAAGGAAGGAATTCTGAGAGCAGCTCAGAAAAAAACGCAAAGTTACCTACAAAGGAACACCAGTAAGACTAAGCAGAAACCATGCAGGCAAGAACGCAATGGGATGACAAAATCAAAACTGAAACAAATCATTGCCAGCCAAGAATCAGCAAAGCTGCCCCTAAATATGACAAAGAAATCACAACATGTCCTGAAAAACAGAAATCAAAGGCATTTGTAATCATTAGACCAACTTTACAAAAAATGTTAAAGGGTGTTCTTTGAACTGAGAACCAACAATGGCAGACAACAACCTGAGATTATCATACATGACAACACCACTCAGAAATCAATCTAGATATGAAAGTGTTTAATGTACAAAAAACTTACAAGACTGAACTAGGGAACCAGAGATGTCAGTGTATAACGAAGTCAACTACAAAGCAAAACCATGAAATAGTGTGGACCCAGAACTTCCAAATGGCAAGGAAGTCAGGTAGATTTCAAGATAAAACAGACTGTTTTAAGAAGGGAGAAAATCAGTATATTACAGGGTAACTGCAATGAAAAGTAGTACAGCTACCTATACATCAAAATAAAAAAGAGGAAAATCTGAAACATATAGTAAATATTAACACTATAGAAATGAAAATGAAAGGAAAACCCACAAACAAAATGAACTGGCATAGAAAATTATACGGAACAAAGAATCCAGCTGTGCCAACCCCCCACCCCCGCCACACACACACAGAAAAAAACTGACAACAATTAATTCATACCTATTGATGATTATATTGAATATAAATAGATTAAATGTACCACACAAGAGACATACAGAGCAGAATGGATAAGAAAACAGAATCCTTCAATATGCGGTCTACATGAGGCATATCAAAAAGATTCAGGCAGCCTAAATGCCCATCAACACAAGAATGGCTAAGGAAACTTTGGTATATACACACAATTGATGGTGGTAAGTACCGGAGGCGGTTCTGACTCATAGTGACCCTGCACAGGGTTTCTGAGGCTGTAAATCTTTTGGAGAGCACAATGCCTCATTTTTCTCCTGTGGAACCGCTGGTAGTTTCGAATGACTACGTTGAGGATGGCAGCCTAAGTCACAATGGAATACTACAAAACACTGAAGAAGAATGATGAATCTGTGAAACAACTCACAACGTGGATGAACCTGGAGGACATTATGCAGAGTGACATTTGTCAATCACAAAAGGACAAACATTGTATGAGACCAATGTTGTAAAAAGTTAAAAATAAAAAAAAGGTTTCCTTGATAAAAGAAACAATCTATGATGGTTACAGGGGGAGGGGAGGAAGAAGGAGGGGAAATTATTCATGGGCTAGAGGGTGGTGGTGGTAATTATGTGCCTGTGCCGTGGAGTAGGAACCGTCTCATAGCAACCCTGTAGAGGGTTTCCGAGGCTGTAAATCTTTACAGGAGCAGAAAGTCTCATCTTTCTCCCATGAAACAGCTGGTAGTTTAGAACTGCTGACCTTGCGGCTTGCAGCCTGATTTGTAACCACTATGCTACTAGAGTAGACACATGTTAACATGAGTGACAGGGCTCGCAATATACAACAAGAGGGCAGATAGCAGAGGATGACGGTAGCGGGAGACACAGATAGAAATGCAACAGTTAGAATGAAAACAGAGGTAAATACAGTTAGCTGTTGGTGCATGGAGGGGATTGCAACCATGTTATGATGCAAACTACATGATTTCTTGAATATAAAACTGTTAATCTGCTCTGTAAACCTTCACTCAATTCACAATAAAAAAAAAAAAAAGAAAGAAAGAAGAGTAAGTTTAAAGAGTTAAAAAAAGAAAAAAACAACTGTATTATTTTAAGCTGGTAGAACATGGTAAATACCTTCGATGTTCTGTGGGCCCACAAGATTCATGGCCTGGTGAGCTGGATATTCTACCCGTGGTCTGGCAATGCCCAGCTGTTCCATAACGCCATGAAGCAGCCTCTGGATATCTGTCTCTGAGACCCTGTCAGAGGTCCGAGGACTATAAGCAAATGTCAGAGTCCATCCAAACACTAACCAAAACAGTAGGCCAGATAGCAGGGCAGAGATGCTTCGGGAGAACATTTTTAACCTGCAGAAAAATGACCAAATATAAATCAGTAGGCCACAATAGGGTGATAATACAATTATGCCACCATTGCAGAGAGTAGGCCAAGGACTACCCAGAAAGGAGCTGCAATGACAAAATCTTTAAGAGTTTTGCTTTTGTCTTGATTGGTTGTGGGAAGCTATTAAAAAAAAAACAGTCCAAATTATCCAGTTCCCTGTGTACTTTCATTCTTAGGAAGGTTTGGCTGGAATAGCAGTTTTCAACCATTTTTTAAATTCTCTTTGCACCTCCCAGAATGTTCTGCATTCCCCCAACCCAACCACTCTTACCATCCCTTCCTAATAAAAACAAAACAAAAAAACCACATTTTGCTTCAGTTTTGAGAAAGGGGGAGGAACAGCGACATCTTTTGTTCTTCCAGTTTCAGGGGAGAAAAGGTTAAAATGGTAAGGAAGGGTGGGAGAGTTAGGGAGTAGTAGAACATTTTAGCTTATCAAGCATCTCTTCTATTTGACATCTTGAGAGTAATGGAAACACATACACACAGGCCCTGCCCTGCCATCTGGTAGGGAGATGCAGTATGATAGCTCAGCCCTGCACTACCAGGTGATCTTGGGCAAATGCTTCAGTTTTCTCATCTCAAAAAACAGGGCACTGTCTACAATCTGGTATGGTGCTGTAGGATAAGCACTGGGCTGCAACCCACAAGATCAGCAGTCCAAACCCACCAGAGGCTCTCGGAAACCCTATGCAGGGTAACTATCAGAACCAACTTGATGGCACATAACAGCAACTTTACAGGGCTGTTGAGAGGATAACTGTGCAAACACATGGAACAATGGCAGAGTCTGCCCCTATAATGTTCGCTAATATCGTTTCACTGATCTGTTTATCTTACCAGGTATTTTAGAATTTTTGGAGAGGGCAATGAGGACAGGAAGAAGATGGAGCACGTGAGGGGAGAGCAAACACTAGTCTGGGGAGTCAGCCTGTCTTAAATTTTGTTTTTTTATGGAGACACGTTCAGAACAAGGGGACAATATTCACCGGGCTGTCCTCTGAGCCACCTAGCCTGCTTAGGATAGGTGCTTCAGATAACAACCCTACAAACCTTTCTTTTTGATTACCATCCCACCCACCCCTTCTTTTATTTTTAATTAAATTTTTTTTTTTTTGGAGAGGGAATGGTTAGGGAGGCAAAATAACGTATTTTCATCCTTGAAACGGAAAGTCTCCTACTTCCTGTATATTTTTCTGTAAAAGGAATCTTTCTGTAGTCACTTCTAGATACAAAGCCTTGAAAACAGCTCTTTACTTCTATGGCAAAGCCTGCAACAGCGATGGCAAAGGCCCGAGGGAGATACCAGCCTCTCGGTCCATCTCCATCTTTCCTCGTTCGCTCAAAGGCAAGAAGTCTGTTTTATTTCCATCCCCAATTCTGATTTGATGAACTACCAATCTCCTCCCTCGGTACTCCATTTCTCTTATACAAAGCCAAGCCCCCCACCCCCCTCCCCCCTTCCTTTGTAAGACTCCAGCCTCCAGCTCGAGGATTTTCAGCAGGAAGCCCTCCTTCGTTCCCGACCCCTTAGGTGGGCAGCAGCAGGAGGAACCGAGATCAGCGCAGTACTCACCGATGGGCAGCCCTAGGAACCTGCTGCGGTCTGGGCCTTGGTCGGGGTCGGCGAGGAGCCTGGCGAGTTGGGAGGCTCGTGCGTCACCGCCCTCCGCATTTTGGCTCCGCCCCGCCCCTCCTCCAGCAGGTGGAAGCCGCTTTGCCAGGACTCCCCAGACCGCACATTAGGGTAGATGTGCCTCAGCGTTCTAACCCTCTTTCAAATATTTCGCCTTACAAACTTCTTTACGGTGAATACCTCCTACGGACTGTCGTCCTCCATCGAGCCCTTTTCTTAAGCACTTATTTATACGAAATGTACCAGATCGCCATATCTGTATTCTGCCCCCAATAGCACACCTCTAGTTTTGCCACCTTCTGGAAGAGCTTGTCAACAACCTCATATGCTTATGAAATTTGGACAATGAATAAGGAAAACTGGAGAAGAATCCATGCATTTGAATTATTGGAGAATATTGTAAGTTCCATGAACTGCCAGAAAAACAAATCTGTCTAGGAGTAAGTACAACCAGAATGCTCCTTAGAAGGGAGGCTTGTCCCTGGAGAATGATGTACTGCTTGGTAAAGTGGAAGGTCAGGAAGAAAAAAAGGGGGGACGGGGGCTTCCCCAATCAGATGGATTGACAAAGTGGCAGCAACTGTGGGCTCAAATACAGTTGTTAGAATGGTGCAGAACAGAACTCACTCAACGTTGTCTAACAGAACAGCTTTAAAATTTCTTTTGGTTTGAAGAAGGAATCGTGGGAGTGACAACAAAAGCTGAAGAGGGCCTAAGAACTTCGAATACAAGGTACATACTGCTCTCAGCATCCCTTTCCTTAAGCACGAACACTGGAGATATTTCATTGTTGTTGTTGAATGCCATAGAGTCGGTTCCTACCCATAGCGACCCTTGTATAGGTTTTCCGAGGAGGGGCTGGTGAGCTTGAACCACCGACCTTGAAGTTCAAATGGCTTTGCAGTCTGGCGCATTAACCCACAGCACCACACCAGGACTCCAGAGATATTTAATAGAAGATGCTAAAACATGTAAATGACACATCAAGGAATATTTTGAAAACGAGTCGGAACCGACTCCACGGTACTTAACAACAACAATGAATATTAGTAACGGTGTGTACTGTAGGCTAAGCACTGCTAACTGCAAGGTTGGTGGTTCAAACCCAGCAACTGCTCCTTGGAAACCCTATAAAAACGGGTAACTGTGAGTTAGAACTGACTTGCTGGCACTTAACAGGAATCAGTTCTGAATATTATATCTCTGTACCAATCATCTATGTAAAATCCCAATTTTGACCTAGAACCTCAGGATTTGCAGCGTATTGTAGGGTTTCCTGCTAATAAGTTTACAGAGCACCTAGGATGTGCAGTTTTGATCATTTGGAATGTATTTAAGTATAAAAATTGAGCTGTAAAGTCACATTGTTGTTAAGTAGCATGGAGTCCATTCCAATTCATAGTGACCCTGCATAGGGTTTCTGAGAATCTGCTGGTTGGCTTAAACTGCCAACTTATGGTGCCGCACCAGGAACCCATGTTGTTAAGTGCCATGGTGTGGGTTCCGACGTAGTGATCCTGTACAGAGTTTCTGAAGAGCGGTTGGTGAGCTTGAAGCACCAAGCCTGTGATGCAAACCAGCCTTACAGTCCAGCGCATTAACCTACAGGGACACACAAGAAGTCCATAAAGTCATATAATATATCCAAATTTCTTTGAGGACTAGTGTCAAACACCTGGGAGGCGTGAGGTTAACTAAATTAACTCTATGTTCGAGTACCAGTCTGTACCTTCGCTTTATGCAACGGCTCCATTATCAGCAACCGCAGTTGTATGCCATGAATGCTGGGTTTTGTTACTGCGGAGGCGATTCTGACTAGCCTGTGCCATGAATAGAGTAGAACTGTGCTCCACAGGGTTTTCAAGACTATGACCTTTAAAAGCAGATCTTATACTTCTGGAGAGGTTTCAATCACCAACCTTTCTGCTAGTAGTCAAGTCCTTACCCAATTTTGCACCCAGGGACTTCATGCAATGAATATTGTTATGTGCCTTGGAGTCGGTTCCGACTCACAGCGACCCTGTACAGGGTTTCTGAGGCTGCAAATCTTTATGGGAGCAGAAAGCCTCATCTTTCTCCCGCAGAACAGTTGGTAGTTTCGAACTGCTGACCGTGAGTTTAGCAGACCGATTTGTAACCACTACTAGGAATAGGATTGGCAAAATTATTCATAAGACACAAGACCTTTTGGTTTGAAGCCAAGCAAGGCTTGTTTTGTAGAGCTTTGTTTTTTTGTTCCATAGATGCCATTTTCTGCATTTCAATGCATATTGTCTTCAGAACTTTTTATCTATGACTCTAGGCTAAACAACCACTACGGTTCTGTTTATTTTATTCTGAATTTTACTTTAGCGTTATCTTCATTTTGTGCTTAAGAATATGGAGAAGACATTACAATTTGTTGCTTTGGGACTAAGTGGGAACTTGATTGAAATACTAAATGCTCTACATGACATTTCTTTTTAAAAAATGAAACACCTATGAAATGTATCTAGGCTTGATGACATCAAAATCTCATTTACTATAGAATGTGCAGTCAAAATTTAAAGTGACAGTTTCCACTTAAAACCAAACAGCCACCACTCACCTGTCAGTTTGTCATACTGTGGTGGCTTGTGTGTTGCTAGGCTTCTGAAAGCTATGCCTCTGGTATTTTAAATAACCAGCAGGGTCACCCATGGTGGACAGGTTTCAGATGAGCTTCCAGACAAAGACAGACTAGGAACAAAGAGTAACGAACTACTCTAGAATCCTTAGTCACTGAAAACCTTATGAATAGCAAAGAAACACTGTCAGATATAGTGCCAGAAAATTAGCCCCTCAGGTTGGAAGGCACTCAAAATGCGACTGGGGAAGAGCTGCCTCCTCAAAGTAGAGTTGACTGTGATAATGTGAATGGAATAAAGCTAGTGGGAGAAAAGCCCGCAGGACCTTCATTTGCTGATGGGGCACAACTCAAAATGAAGAGAAACAGCTGTAAACATCCATTGAAAA